GGTATTTAATATTTTTACTAAACAACCTATCACCCCACCCCCTTCAGGAGATGCAGGCCCCAGGGGGTCTTGCTTGTTCATCCCTCGACTCTTTCACCCCTACCTCATCCATCTGGCTCCAGCCACTTGGACTGTCAGATGGAAAGTCACCTCTATCCCTCATGTACAGTGGGGTGTCAGTACAAAGGGGTGGGGCAAGGGTACTGAGGAAAGGTGCTCCCCGGGCTTTTGCCACTTGAGGACAACCTGAACTGATACACCCTGTGTCCCTGGAACCACAAAGGTGAAAGCGGGCTGCTGTTGGCCCCCAAATATGCCTGTCTACCATGTACACGGTCACTTGAGGTGGCCACAGCCCTCCACATATGTCTTACTGAGCAATTTCAACCTGGTCAGTCAGCGTGAGACTGACAGGTCTTCATGCCCCTGACATGTCTGTACTGGCCCTGTTCTCAATAAAGCAAGTTTGTTGTTAAAGCTGTGATGGGGTGACCGAGGGTGAGCGAAGCAAGGCTTCCGGAGGGCGGGCAGCAGGGGGCGCCAGCTCCCTGAAACAGCTGACTGAGTCACCGTGATCAAAGATTGCCTAACTTGCCTAACGGGGAGGTGGGCCCTTGGAGCAGGTGACGCTGGTTCTAAGTGTTGGGCACAGGGTGGTGCCACGCCTGTCATGGGCCATACTTGTCTCACTGGCAACGCCGGGACCGTGGGGAGGTGGACCCAGCTCTCCTGGGGATGGAGTGAACCAGGCACTGGGTCCCCAGGGCCTCCTGCTAAGCTCTACCCGCTACACGTTTTGAAGCCCATACAGGTCAGAGGACCTGAGCCATTATCACTCAGCCCTCGTGGCACAGTGGGTGACGAGTTGGTCTGCCAACTGCAAGGTGTCAGCAGTTCAAAACCACCAGCTGCTCTGAGGGAGAAAGACCCATCTTCCTATTGCCATGCCATAAGTAGTTTGTCCAGAAACCCACAGGGGCAGTTCTGCCCTGACCCACAGGGCCACCGTGACTCACTGGTCATGACTGAATTTTAAAAATGTTTAGACCATCTCGGGCCTACAAGGCTTCCATCAGGTGGGAGGGGAGCCAGCGAGGAGAGTACCCAGCAGCTCGCACCCTCTGCCTGCCTCCGAAAGCTCTGTCCCCCACAATGATAGTGACCCCCTACTGCCACCTGTGACCCACAACAGACCCCTCTCCCCAGAAGAAGGTGGAGGTGGGGCTTGAGCACCCTGGAAAGTGGGAAGTCACCTGGGCTGCCCCTTTCCCCACCCATCAACCGGTCCTGGAGCACTGGGGCGGCCAGAGTAGAATGCCCACAGGGAAGGGCAGCTGGCTGGAGCCAACCGTCACCATCAAAAGCCCCTGTGTGCAGTCATCCTGGGTGGGCACAGCCTGGAAGTCAGTTCCCAGGGGTGCCTCAGAAGAAAGGCCTGGTGGTCAGTTGAAGGCTCCCATCCATTGAAGCCCCTC